CCCCTCCCTCCTCCTCTTTCCAAAGCTCTTTCCTTTGGATTCTCCCCCTCCTCCCCTTTCTCCTCCTCCCTCTCCCCCAACCCCTCCTTTCCTCCATGCCCCCTCCTCTCCTTCTTTCGCCTCCTCTCCCTCCCCCCACCCCGCCTCCTGCTCCGAGAGGAGGAAGGGAAGGCGGGCAGGTCTGGCGCACTCACGGCTCGGATGCGCTTCAGGCACTTCTTCAGCCACATGCGGATGGTCTGCTTGGCCACCTCCTCCTCGATGGTGTACTCCAGCTGCTCCCTGGCCAGCAGCTCTTCCAGCTGCAAACTCTTGCGGATGTCCACTGACCGGTAGGAGAGCATGCTGGGGGGGGGGGGGGGGCATAGTGGTGAGCTCTGATGCCCCTGGGGGCCAGGCTCGTGGCCATCACAGAATCCAGAGAGGAGGCGACTCCATCCAGCCAGTGTAAGTTTCCGATGCCACCCGACCAGCTGATTATGTCGCCGCCCTGTCTCCACCCTCCTCTATCAGCCGGGGAGAGTCATGGACCTGCCTTTCCGCAGGATGAACTGTGCTACTATCAGCAAGGTGCTTACCACACCATCAGCATTCGTAAAACAAAAGATCCAGGCTAGGCTATGACCTTCATTATCAGCTGCTTAAGTCTGGAACTTCCCCTGTAGAAGGAAGACTGTTCTCGCTATACTTTCTTCACATTCAGGTCAATTTGGTGATGGTCCTTGTGCTTACAAGTAGATGCTTGTTGGTTATCCATTTTAAATAAAGCATTATGTACTTGTCCATTCCAAACTCCCTAACGCTATATGGCAGCCTGGATGGGAGGGGAGTCTGGGGGAGAAGGGATACACGTGTATATGCCCGAGTCCCTTCGCCGTTCACCTGTAACTATCACAGCATTGTTAATTGGCTACACTCCAACACAAAATAAAATGTTTAATTAAAAAAAATCATGTTTATATACAGAAAAATTTGGTGATGGTCAATATGATTGGCTGTGGGTCACGTATCCCGTTCCCCTGGCCCCCCACCGTTTCCCTCTCAATTTATCTCATTTGCTCCCTGAGATCTTCCTCATTCGTTATATTTTTTAAACATCTGTTTTTATTTACTTATTTGGCCGTGCCTGGTCTTAGCTGCAGCGCTTAGGATCTTCCATCTCGGTCATGGCATGTGGGATCTTTAGTTGTGGTATGAAGTGAAGTGAAGTGAAAGTCGCTTAGTTGTGTCCAGTTCTTTGCAACCTCATGGACTGTACAGTCCATGGAATTCTCCAGGTCAGAATACTGGAGTGGGTATCCTTGCCCTTCTCCAGGGGATCTTCCCAACCCAGGGATTGAACCCAGGTCTCCCGCATTGCAGGCAGGTTCTTGACCAGCTGAGCCAGCAGGGAAGCCCAAGAATATTGGAGTGGGTAGCCTATCCCTTCTCCAGTGGATCTTCCCAACCTAGAAATCAAACCTCATTGCAGGCGGATTCTTTACCAACTGAGCTATCAGGGAAGCCCGGCATGCAGACTCTTAATTGCGGCATTGAAGGTCTAGTTCCCCAACCAGGAATCAAACCCGCGCCCCCAACCGCAAGGAGTCTTAGCCACTGGGCCACCAGGGAAGTCCCTTCCTCATTCATTTCAGATGGGCTCAAAGCCAGGGTGCAACGCTCACTCCCATTCGGCCCTTAGCACAATAGGCCCAGACAACAGGCAGATGACAGCGACTCAGCCGACACGCCGCGTGGGGGCGCCTGGGCAACGAGGCACCTCATGTGTCCAGGCCGAGGGGCTCGCAGCCAAAGGGGGATACGGAGCCCTCCAGCAGTTGGGTGCTGTTCCGCGTAGCCCCTGCCTGCCCCCAGCTGTGAGCTCACATCCATCTACACAGCCCAGATCACAGCGTGGAGGTGCCAGAGGGGCCTTCCCCATGCAGCCCTGGTATCAGTTCCATGACCCACTCTCAATCTAAGCCTCTTCCCACCACCGGGGAAGAAGTGCTCTCCCCTGCCTTGTCAAGAATCTCATTGTTGTGGACCACTTGTGATCATATCCAGGGCGAGAAGGACAAGGAGGGGCAAAGGATGCCTCCATCAGCTTCGTCTGGGTCCATTTGATCAGACACACAATGTCATCCAAAAAGACTGGATGGTAATTAGTGGGGACAGTGATGTGTCTATACACCTCACTTTCAGTCTGAAACTGTCACTATGAGGAAGATGAGGTGACACTCTGAGAGAGATGGCACTCTTTGCTCTCATCTGTGTTTTCTGCCTCATCTTGGCCTGCCTTTTTGCTTGCTCCCAGAAGAAGTGAAGAGAGGGAGGTAAAATTGATAACTTGAGAACTTCTCCCAGATCCTTCCTCTGTTCTGGTCATTTTTCAGGTTCCAGTTACAACGTATTTCTGTATGCATGGATGCTCCTGAAATTTGTGACACAATACCCAACATTTAATTGGCTGGGTATTTGCAACATGATGAACATAGCTACTGGTGGTAGAAGGTTTTCTGGACCTTTTCTGCAGCATGGCTCCTTTGGCAGTGCAGCTGATGCAACATTTCTTAGCATAAGGTTTTGAATGCAGTACGAAATCCACATTACACAGGAAACGGATTATATAGAAATTGAGTCCTTAGATTATTTTCTTTGAAAAGGTGGTGATACGGTAAAATAAGAACTTCTCTACTATTATATTGAATAATAACATCTAGCTGAGGTGAAATGACTATTATATCTCAGAACTGGGAAGCATAACAGGTATTTTAAGATATCAGACATGCAGTAATGGACATGAAAATGTCTGTGAATTCTACTGGTGATAAAGATACAGCTACTGTATTGTTAACACCACTGTGGTTTGTTGCCTGCATTCATCTTTGAAGGAGATGCTGCATTGCAGCCAATGACTAGTGAAAATAAAGATGGAACTGTTTCTCTTTCCAAGACCACAGACCTCTGAATTTTATCCACGGACTCCCATTTAAGAAGCTGTTGAGTTGAATTGTTTTCCCTCAACAAAAGCTATGCAAGAGTCCTTATGCCAGGCCCTCAGAGTGTGATCTTATTTGGGAATAGATCACTGCAGATTGGGCTTCCCTGGTGGCTCAGACTGTAAAGAATCTGCCTGCAATGCAGGAGACCCAGGTTCGATCCCTGGGTGGGGAAGATCCCCTGGAGGACGGCATGGCAACCCACTCTAGTACTCTTTCCTAGAGAATCCCACAGACAGAAGAGCTGGTGAACTGCAGTCCATGGGGTCCTAAAGAGTCAGACACGACTGAAGCAACCACGCATGCACACACACGCACTGCAGATGTAATTAGGAGGAGGTCGTGCTGGAGTAGGGTGGGTCTTTCATCCGAGATGATCTGGTGTCCTTACAAAGGGGACAGCTGGACAGACACACAGACACACACACATGGAGCATGTCCTGTGAAGATGAAGGCAGAGATTAGGGTGATGCTTCCACAGGCCAAGAAACACCAACAATGACCAGCACGCCACCAGCAGCCCCAGGCGAGACCTAGATCCGATCCTCCCTCCCAGCCTCAGAGAGAACCCCGTCTGCTGACTCCTTGAATTCACTTCCAGCCTCCAGACAATCCACTTGCCTGCTTAGACCACTCAGAGCGTGGGATTTTGTTAAAGCAATCCTAGCAAATAATGCAGAAGCCGCTCAGAGAGAAGAAAGGGCTGAGCCTCCGTCTGCCCTTCTGTCCTATCTGGGGTCCTCAGGAAACGTCTGGAAATGGGGTGTGTCAACCAAGCAGGGGTGCCCGTCTCTGGGTGGCCCAGGCCGACTCTGGTCGGACCCACGGGTGAGAAGACTGATCAGACTGCAGCCCCAGCTTGGCCCCAGGAACTGAGCAGGTCCCCGGGCTTCTGGATGTCTTCCTTCCTGNGAGTGGGTTGCCATTTCCTTCTCCAGGGCATCTTCCTAACCCAGGGGATCAAACCCTCGTCTCCCACACTGGCAGGCGGGTTCTTTGCCACTGAGCCACCGAGGAAGCCTGGCAACAGAGCACTGCCATTCGGAAATCATCCTTAGGCCACCATGATTTGCTTGGCGTTCTGTTTTCACAGCCAAAGAGCCCACAGCTAGTTTTCAAAAGCTGCCATAAACCAGCACGAGAACGAGGAAGCTGCTGGCCTCCCGAGGCAGGGCGGGTCTGCACAGCTGGAGGAGACCAGGATGAAGAGCTGGCTCCTGGGAGTTTCTGCAGGAGCTTCTCCGGTTCTGGGGGGTGGGGTGGGGACAGGGACATCCCCGCCACCTCGGGCACCCAGGAGCCAGGAGGGGCAGAGGTCACCCTCCGCCTCCCCAGCACGGCTCCTGCTTTACGTCTCTCCCGGTGCCTGCTGCACGGACTCAGCCCGTGCTCATGTTTCTCTAACACGTGAGCTGAGAGGACAGTGATGCACTGAGTTGAACACGGGGGGCCCACGTGGACACGATCCTCCTCTTCACTTAGTCCAGATGCTGGGCATGGCTAATTATGGATTCTGAGTTGCTCTTCTGCCGAAAGACCACTCCTTTCCGGGTCCTCTTCAGCATGAGGGCAATCCCATCCAGGAGGCCCAGCTCCCAGCAGATCCAGACTCCGAGCCCCTAACACGGGGTCACTCCCTTCGGGGCGGCGACACCTGCATGCCAGCCTGGCTCTGACTTTGAATGGAAGAACTGGGCGAGAGGCAGGGAGGCTGGCAGCCTGTGAATTCCTGCCAGTGACTAACGTCCACACGTGTGAGCAGTGGATGTGTGTGTCCGTGGAGGGCAGGCCCCTGCAGGCGGCAGTGATGGAGAGCTCAGCAGATCCAGGTGAGATGGAGGCCAGGTCAGCATCTTGGAAGAACCCCCCCACCCCAGACCAGTGCCCGGGGCGGGGGGTTCACCAAGGGGAGAGAGAGCACAGGGCCTGGGGAAGCCGTGCGCCCCCCTGCAGACCCCACCCCTGATCCAGGAAACCATGTCCGCTCTGCTTCTGGCTCCTTGGCCTCTGTGTCTGCAGTCGATTCTTCCAGAAACCATTTCCAGATCTTCCCCCAGGTCTGCCCGTGGCTGACCTTCCGGCTCCTTGGCCTCTGCGTCCGCAGTCGATTCTTCCAGAAACCATTTCCAGATCTTCCCCCAGGTCTGCCCGTGGCTGACCTTCCCTCGTTCCTCAGATGTTAAGTCAAATAACACCTGCTCAGCCAGGCCTTCATGACCACCCTGCTAAACATCCGCCCCCAGCTCCAGCCACTCTCAACCGTGTCACATCTTTTTCAAAGTGTTTATCGCTTCTTGAAATAAAAGTCATCATTACAATCATTACTGTTTCACTTTTTATAGTTTTTCTCCCTGCAGACTCTGCGAGCACAGGGACCTTGCCATCTTGTTCATGGTCGCGTCCCTGGTGCCTAGAACGGTGCCTGAGGGTTTGCGAGGATGAAGGAGGAAGAATATGGTGAAAACATTCAAATAGTAAGTCCAAAATTGTAAGTTTCAGAAACCACTTAAATAACTCCTTTGCACTTCCAATCAGAATTGCTGTTTGAATCTGCCTTACAGGTCACTACGGTGATGTGAACCTCACCCCATCCTGCCCTGAGCCCAGATTGGCCTCTTGAGAGCTCCCTTTGGTTTCCTCTCCTTGAAGACCTTCCGAATGTCGGAAGGAGCGGACACTCGTGGTTGGAAAGAACAGGACAGGGAGCTCTTCGGTCCCTCTCCCCTCCTAGCGCGTCCTACTAAATTGTCAATGACAGCGTTCTGCAATTCAGCAATGGCCGTTCTATGCAAATTCAATACATGTCAACCGTCAACAGCAAAACCACTGAAAAGTTTGCAATGAGGCATTAAGTGTCTTTGGGGTGGGGCATGAGACAATAATCGACTCTCTCACCTCTCTTTTATCATCCACCATGTTCCATATGATTTGAAAGTGGCGAAGATCATTGTAACTTAAAAGCTGGTCCTCCTCAGTGGAATAAAACAGGGAGAAATTCTCCACAATTATGGCTAAAGAAAAAAAAGAAAAGAAAAGAAAAATGAGGATGTTAGGCAATTATGCTAATCTGTCATTTTTCCCAAAAAGTAAAACATCGATTATAAATAATGAATTTTATCGCCTACATTATAAGCCAAATTTTTAAAGGGCTTTTAGTACGGTTTCCAAGTTGGCATGTTTTACACTTGGACCGGGCTATTTATCCAGCTCCTGCCTTTCCAAAACATGAGGGTCATGAGCATAAACATGCATTCTGTGTCTATAGCTACTCACGCCAGCTGGCTTCAACTCCTCATGGAGAGTTCCCGGGCACTTTTTAAACATCAGATTGAGTTCTGGTGGCCCCATAGCTGGGTGGACAACATACATCTTTTGAAAACATAATTGTGATATTTCAAGGCTGCAAAGGTAGCCTTTTCTGATATTTGTTCAACTGAACCCATGACAAGAGCTTTTGAAATTAATGGACATAATAAATAGGACAACTCTTGAAATTGCAATCAACTGTCATTTATGTGCCTTTCAAAGGTCTTTTCAGTTTCTGGACCGAGAGGCAACAATTTATAATTAATGCCATAAAACACCCACCCCAAGCAACCCGGGATAATTACTTGGAAATTGTGCATAATTATCTAACAACCTGAGTTTAAAGAGATTGAAAAATATTCAACGAGCATCACTTACCTACAAGCAGATTTAGCATGATGTAGGCAATGATGACATAAAATGAACAGAAATACATAAGTGCCCCGGCATAATTTCCACAGTCTGTTGCCCAGTATGTAAATTCATCGGGAGTACAAAAGGGGGGCTGGACCTGTGGGGCCATGGCAGGGAAGAGGCAGGGGCCAGGGAGAGAACAGAGGAGAATATAAATTCCCCTTATCTAACTATAATTGTGAACGTATTCCTAACAATATAAAATATAATTAACTTCAAAGTGATCTCTGAGCCCCATACACTGGGTACACCATCTGTGGCCAAAATCAAAAAGAATATTTCATTTATGCCACGCTTTTGGCCTTGCAGAATCCCAAGTTCATTGCCGTTTGAGAAGCACAACAAAAATGAAGCCGTTTCTCCCAAGAGACACTTTTTGCCACCTCCACTAGCTCCAAAGAGTCAGTAGTCGCCGTGATGCAAAATGCAGAAAGTCAGATAAAAAGGTGTTTTAAAAAATTCTCTGACTTCAGTAATGGCTTAAGATTTAGGAAGATTCGCGCTTCACAGCAAATTCACATTCAGATTATGTAAGGAAAAGCCAGAATCCTAATTCTTGGAGCATCCTTATGAGACATCATTAAATGGCACAAGATTTCAGGTTATCAAAAGCCTTCTTTTTTTTTTTGATGTGGATCCATTTTTAAAGTCTTTATTGAATCTGTTACAATATTACTTCTGTTTTATGTTTTGGTTTTGTTTTTTTTTTTGGCCTCGGGGCCTGTGGAGTCTTAGCTCCCCGACCAGGGATCAAATCCGAACCTCCTACATTGGAAGGTGACGTCTCAACCACTGGGCCACCAGGGAAATACCTAAGCTCGCCCATTCTCCACTTGCCCAATAAAACTCACACCCCTCTCAGACTTCGGGTTTCTTTCTGTCAGGGAGACCTAGGTCTGTCTTCTACATTTCCACGGCCTTCTGCTTGCTTATTTTTTTATCTAGAATTCAATCGATTCTGCCTTGTATTATTTTGGCTTTGGTAAATTCTCTCTGTTCACTCATACATAAAGTTCCTGAGCTCCTCCTCTGGGTTTGGTTTATCCCCAGGCCCCTCCCCTCCCCTCCCTGCTGCTAACAGTCTGGAGGCCTGCAGGCCACCGGTAGCTGCCAACTCCACATCAGTGACAGTAAACGTCAGCCGCTCAGTCGTGTCTCAGGGCTCATCCGTCCAAGGGATTCTCCAGTCAAGAATACTACTAGACGGTGTTGCCATTTTCTCCTTCAGGCGGTCTTCCTCACCCAGGGATTGAACTCGGGTCTCCCACATTGGAGGCAGATTCTTTACCATCTGAACCACCGGGGTGGTGCAGCCCTACTCCATGGGGCTATCTAAATTCAAAGCTATGTTCATTAACAGTCAATACAATTAAAATGCAATGGAAAATTCAATTCCTCAGTTGCACTAATCACACCTCAGGGGCTCAATAACCACACAGGGGTGGTGGCCACTGAACTGCCCTGGGCAGAAATTTGCAGAAATTTCTTTTGTCCGTTGGTCTGGAGGGTCAGAGGGAGATGAAATTAACCAATCAAGCTGATAACTCACTGTGGTTGTGTGAGCAACCACACCAACGAAGAAATACAGAATACCGGGAGAACACAGAACTGCAGTCTTAGTGTTGGGCAGGGTTCCTGAAGAACTGAGCTTTAAACTGAGACCTGAGGATGGTGAAGACTTAGTCCCTAGAAGCAAGGACACCTGAGGAAGAGTATTGCTCGGAACCCCTGATATAAGCTCCTCGAGAATGCCTTGGACTTGCTGATGCCCTAGCACCTAGGACAGGCCAGCACAGAAACAGGGGCCTAGTGAGTATCTGTTGAATAAATTAAATCAAAGATCGGAACTCTCCTCTTTGAACTTGACTGCCAGAATGTCAAAGACAGAAGGGACCAAACAATGCTCAAATGACGCAAATTTGTTGAATGGAACTACAATAGCTTGAGTTGGGTTCACTGATATCTTTCTTGTATGTGTATATACTGTAATTTAAGAGGATGCACCTTTATGGATTAACGCGCCAGGATATGTGTTTTGTATAGTCTTGACACTACAAGAATGATGATGCCATTACATCACCAAAGAATTTCATCTGCTTCTAAGTCTAGGCATTGTTAGCAATGAAGAGACATTTACCATACAGTCGTGCATAATCTTATTCCAATCTTCTCCTGTGACAATTCGGAACAGTACAGTAATAGCTTTGCCAGCTGAAGAAAAGTTTGCATGCCTAATTTAAGGAAAAACAAACAAACAATATGAGTGATAAGGTTGGTCATGAAGTAGGAAGGGTTGTCACTACCAAAACAGGTGGATTCTGGAGCAAATTTGGTTGCTAAGCTACCATTTCCAAAGGTTACAGCCTCTTATTTGTTTGTTATTTATACTTGCCTCCAAGTAGAGCTGTCTCAATAGCTCAACCCTAGCACAGCGCCAACAATTTATTGCCACTCATCTTGCATGACTGGGAAAGCAAGCTTTGACAATTAAAACTGATTCGTTCTTTTACAAAGATTATGCTATAAAAGATGGAACCACCATGTATCAAATAAGTAGTCTCTGCAACACAATACATTTAATTTTTTTTCTGTAAGGACTTCAAAAAAAAAACTCTGATACGGTTCCATGAAATTTAAGACAATCTTTGAAAAATGCTTTTCATGTATGATAATAATCTGTGGGTCCTAACTTACAATGTTTGTCTTAAAAAAAGGAAAAAAAAAAAAAAACCCAGAGCCATCTCAAAATTGTTTAATTTAAAAAAATAATATATCACTTTTGGCAGTATGTGGATAGAAAAGTTGCTGGAATTCACCAGGCATTAGAAGTGGTTATTTCTGCATGGGGATGGAATTATGGGTTCTTTTTGTTTTCTTTTATTTCTGAATTTTCTAAAGTTTCTAAAGTAAGCATGCATACTGTTTTCAAAGAGAAAAACATCATTTAAAATTTGGTCATTTTACTTTGTTTTAATTTTCAAATAATTGCTTCCCCATCTTTGTTTAAAACATGCAGATATTTACTCATGGCTTCATTACTAAAAAAGCTTACTATTTGAATACAAAGATAAATATACACCAACCTGTTAATATTTTCTCCATATTTCACAGTACCAAATAAGACAACTCCAGCGAAAGCATAACACAGCAGCAATAGGAACATGCCCACTATGATAAAGAAGCTTTTATACATGCTGACGACCACCGTCAGGAGAAGCATCTTTAGTGTTACCTGAATGGAGATGAAGGATTTGGGGGTGGGGGTGGGGAAAGAGAGAAAAAGAAAGAGAGAGATACAGGGAATATTTAATTCACAAGCCATCTTGGGAAGGACATGCCATGGAAGCAGTTTGACACAAAAGTGATTTACAAGGATATCATTTGAAAGTTGCTTGCTCAGTGGGAAAGAAACGGGGAAGATCCCCTGGAGAAGGAAATCCCGTGGAGAGAGGAGCCTGGTGGACTACAGTCCCTGGGGTTGCAAAGAGTCAGACATGACTTAGCAACGGAACAACAACAACAGTATTTGGAAGCTGCTTGCTATTTGGTATTAAATTGGAACATTATTAAAACCATTTGACAAAGAGAAATTCTACTTGTATCTCAAACTTCAGCCTCTTTTGCCAAATTAATGAAAGTTCCACCCTAATATTTTTAGCCTCCAATTTTTCTCTTCTCTTGCTAACTGATTCTCTACGATACCTTCTATATATTTTCGGCTGAAAGCAAGTAGATCCAGGATTCTTACACAAATAGACATTCACAAAAACAAATCTGAACAGTGGTAAAATGCCAAATAATCATCAAATACAAAATATATTGATTATGTGGAAATATGGACTATATATGAAATAAAGTGAGTAACAAAAAAGGAAACCGTGCCTTAAAAATGAAAAATACATGTGCAATGTGTTGAGCATTAACAAGGATATCAAGAAAACTGGAATCATAGGATCATGAATGTTCGTTGAAGATTCTCCTTTGCATTGAAAATGACTTGTGTGTGTGTGCTAAGTCACTTCAGTTGTGTCTGCCTCCTTGTGATGCTATGGACTGTAGCCCACCAGGCTCCTCTGTCCATGGGATTCTTCAGGCAAGAATACTGGAGTGGGCTGCCGTACCCTCCTCCCAGGGATCTTCCCGACCCAGGGATCGAACCCGCATCTCTCATGTCTCCTGCATTGGCAGGTGTGTTCTTTACCACCAGACCCACCTGGGAAGACCTCCAAAATGACTTACCTTTATGAAAAATAAAAATGATAAAAATAAAGAAGCATTGAGAAAGACCATTAGTTTTTGCTTTCATGCTTGATATGTTATCTTTAAATGATGACTGAGTTCACTCAGCAAATTAGAAGAATAAATAAAACAACACAAATGTCAGGAAACATATCACAAGATAACTAAGCAACCGATTCATTTCATTATTTGCTCATTTTGACTTCTGGTGTCTGGGAATTTGTTAGCTGCAGCCCTGGAGACCCAAAAGGGCAGCCACAGTCAGCAAGTCATTCTCCTTCCTTCAGTGTACATGTGACCTTTCACAGCATCTTCACAAGGTACTCACATGCTTCCCGCAGATGGAGAAAAACCGGAAGACAATCACGCACGCTCCCATCATGTAGGTGTACGCGTTCTGCAATTTAAAAGGACAGCCCCTCGTAATTTGCACAAAAGATCTTGTTACAGTCCCATTTTTCATTTTCAGCTTCTGTGAAGTCTACTGAATAATGAGCTTAATAAAATGTGAAAATTCCTCTTAAGAAATTTATCTTAAAAAGGTGCTGAAAAGGTCACTGCCAAAACTCATGAATAAGTATTAGCTATAAAATCAAACCTTAATCAAAATTTTCGTCTCCGTGTTGCTCAGCTGAACTCTGTATTTTAAAACTTATTTTACATATTGATAAAACAGTGACCAGCTCCTTGGAGGGGCAGGAAATCCCTGGAATAACAATGCAACAGAAGAAGTCGAGGGAGACAGCAGATAAAGGGATCCCAGCTTCTTCTTCCAACCAGAGAGGGTGCTGGTGCAGAAAGAGACCGTGGGGTCAGCTCCAGCTTCCCTCTCTCTGAAGGTCTCCTTTGGAGACCAGCCGGCCGCATGCATTTCAGGGAAGTCCCCTTCCTCTCAGAAACACACCCAGCTCTTCCTTCAAGTGTGTGATTGGCAGCAAGAGATGACTCTGTGTGCTCCATGACAAAGAGAGCTTCATCTGAGAACAAACAGCCCACCAGCTGCAACCGCAATGACAATGGTGGGGTTAAGCTGATGTCAAAGCTTGATTATTCCCCGGGGAACCTTGCTTAGTCAAATGACGCCCATCATAGATGGGTCCTCGGCAAGGGAAGCTCCTTGGTGAGGGGCAAGGAAATGAAATTGAAGCTCCGATACTTTGGCCACTTGATGGGAACAGTCAACTCGTTGGAAAAGACCCTGATGCTGGGAAAGACTGAAGGCAGGAGAAGAGGGCGACAGAGGATGAGGCGGTTGGATGGATCGCTGATTCAATGGACGTGAACTTCGAGAAACTCTGGGAGACGGTGAGGGACAGGGAAGCCTGGCGAGCTGCAGTCCATGGGGTCACAGAGTTGGACACGACATGGCGACTGAACAACGACAGCAAGGAAATGAATGAGTCTGCACAGGAGCATCTCTGGATGGGAACAAGGACTGCACCTTCCTTCACAACAGTCCACTGCACGACAGAGCAGAGAAGGAATATTCTTTCAGGACCACAGGTTCTCAGAGAAGGGCAGGAGCAGTCAGGCAGAAGGCCGAGCTGGTCTTGCAGGTATGACATATTCTCTCTGGGGACACCCAGAATTAGGAAGCTTACTCACTGTCCTGCTTGGAACATGTAGCCTCGGCTACAATTTGTCTGGAGAAAGAGACAAGCATGGACTTTGCTGCTCCTTCTTGCTGTGTGAGCCCAAAGCCTAGTGTAGATACCTTCTTTCTTTGCATTCTGGAAGTGATGACACCCCACGCTCCCAGGATGACGGCCCAATCCTTTACCTGAACTACGAGGTCTGAGAGGTCTGACACACTTTTTTCATTTTATTTATTTTTTTTTAAACTAACTTTATTTATTGGAGTATAATTGTTTGACACTGTTGCGTTAGCTTCTGCTGTACAATAACCTTAATCAGCTATATGGATACATATGTCCCCTCCCACGTGAGTACCCCTCCCCTCCTACATCCCATCCCGCTAGGTCATCACAGAGCACCAGGCTGAGCTCCCTGTGTTGTGCGGTAGCTTCCCACTAGCTGTGTTACACGTGGGAGTGGATATATGTCGGTGCTACTCTCTCAGTTCGGCCCCCTCTCCTTTTCCCAGCTTGTATCCATAAGTCCGTTCTCTGCATCTCTAGTCCTGCCCTGAAAGTAGGTTCATCAGTGCCATCTTTCTAGATTTTATATATATATATATATATTTTTATATTAAACCATTTATTTTTTTTTTTTTAAACCAATGTTTGCTTTTCTCTTTCTGACTCACTTCACTCTGTATGACAAGTCTGATGCCTTCTCACCCAACCAGATCTGGTACCACGTTCCCTGGCCCCTTGGACCCCTGTGAACTCTCCCATCACAGGGGCAGCTGCCCAGAATGTTCTGCCCTCACCCTACAGGCTGAACCCAGTCATCACTCCCTGGGGCATGCCTTCTAGAATATCTCTGACGAAGCCAATGCACTGCCCTGTGTCATCACAGGGACACAGGTCTCCCTATCGCCCTCACTGTAACTGTGATTCTCATCGACCAGTAATATTTGATGAATACAGGTCTGAAGTTCCAGGCTGTGTGGTTCTTGACAGCGGTACTGTCTCTGTCTTGCCCATGACATTCTTCTCAATTCCTGGCAGTGACTTGCAGCTCTTTAATGCTCTGAACCATCTGTCATGTAAGGAAATGAGTTTGGGTGACTCAGAGCCCAGCTGGGCTTGGCATAGCCCCTGATGCTGAAGGTAACACCTGTTTTGAGGACACTTGGTATGTTTCTGAGCACAGAAATCCCATCCTAAAGCAAGGTCTGGAGAGAAATGGGGCTGGAAACAGGATTACCTGAACTGAGATTACTGACTAAAATGAACTTCAGTGATGTGCTTACCAGGAGGGCAAAGTGAAGGACCACCCAGACAACACCCAGTGACGTCACCAGCAGATCGTATCGATTTCTTCTGCTTTGCCAGAAGCCAGCAGGTGACATTGCTATGATCTTCATCGTAACCTGGGGAAAAGGAATGAAGATGATGAGCTGACGCTGTGTTCAGCAGCACTTATTTAAATGTACTAACTTGAAGCACATTATATTTTAAAGGATGTGAAAACCAAAGAGAACTCTTTATTACTGATGCATCTATGTACATACATGTGTGTGTGTGTGTGTGTGTGTGTATGTGTTTATATATATATAAACAGGTTCCCCTGGTGGCTCAGTGGTAAAGTATCCACCTGCCAAGGTTTCATCCCTGGGTTGGGAAGATCCCCTGGAGAAGCAAGAGGCAACCCACTCCTGTATTCTTGCCTGGGGAATTCCATGGACAGAGGAGCCTGGCAGGCTACAGTGGATGGGGTTGCAAGAGTTGGACACAACTCAGCAACTAAATAACAACAAATATATATGTAAATACACACATATATATGCAAATCTATATTCTCCACACTCTTTTCTCCTTTTATGACTAGTTCTCATAGCAGGACATTTTTCTTCCTCAAGTAAAAGGCCATAGATTTTGGGAAACATCAATCGGTACAGGGTGAAAAAAGAAATCTCATTTTTCAAAGAGGACTGCACTGGAAACTGATGTGATATGGGCCATGGATTCAAAAAATCTTGCCTGGGCCAACTCCGTTTGCCACCACATTGCAATTTGAATCCCTGAATGATGGTGGAACGCACCTAACTAGACAGGCTGACGTTCAGATGCAACAATCAACAGCAGTCAGCAATTCTTGTCGTTAGAAAAAATGGAAATATAAAGTGAAGTGTTTGTTCAAGCAAAGCTCAAACAGCCTAAAAGGGAAACCGTCTGAGAGCATGCCATTCCCTTCCCCCAAAAGGACTTCAAAAGCCAGGGGACACATAGCAGAAAGGAAGGGGCCCTAAAGGATGAGACTGCTGAGAAGGTGCGCTGCGGGCCCCGGCTCCCGCTGACCCAGGACTGTACCTCCAGAACGAAGATGAATGTGAAGACGACCGACATGGTGGCCAGAGGGACAGTCACGGGGTCCTCGACGTCCCACTGGAACAGAAAGAGCACGCAGGTCTGCGTCTGCGTCCATCAGCTTGGGAACACTCGCCCCTCCTCCTCCCGTCTGAACACCACTGCGAACTTTAATTTTTTATAAATGCAGACTGCAACTGGACATGGCTGCCTGAAATGTTCTTGGACCCACCAATGAATAAACAATTTCACTCCCAGGGTCTTTAAGGGTGCAATCAAGTACCTTGACGGACAGCAACACCGACTGAGCCAGGACCAGTAATGCGATCGTCCTCTTAAAAAATGGATGCTGGGTTATGTCGTACATCTTAGCTCTAAAACCATCATTATCTGAAACAGAAAGGTTTAGGCAAGGACCTTTTAGACACAGGTCACATTTACATTCTTGCCTTTCATTTTTCTTTAATGCTCATCTTAAAACCCATTACATTTTTTTTTTTCCTCCTACAGTTCAATCTCTTGTAAAGTGTTTTGCAGGAACGGCTGGGTCTGAATATTTAAAACGACGGTGCATGAAGCCGTCTGTATTGGAAGGAGAAGCGCATCATTCAATTTCTGTCAGTTTAATACATTTCACTCACGTGTTTAAAAGGCAAGCACAAATATATTTTATTTAAAAATTCATTTTTTCATTAAGGCTTATCCTAAGAGCACTGAAGCATGGCCTTTGGGTGGTTGATTTTAATAGCCTACGGAGAGATCTGTAGTTTGGAGCCTGTTTCTATGTTAACTTATGCAGAACCGCCTAGTGGCCTCGCGATTATTATTTTAATTGAAATCTTAGACTCCCGGGGAATCATGAACACTAGTGCCCAACATGAATAAAATCAGAGCATCTTTGATACCCGGGCGAGGTGGCAGATGAAGAGGCTGTGCTATCTTCAGTCGACTCTTCAAATCTTCCCATCTTCTCTGATCTACAGTCAGCAGAGCCGTCCCCTTAATAAAGAAAGGAAAGCAGAGACCCTTTGTCACGTGCTCCACGCCAAGGACACTGCAAATGTGCTGCTGCTACTAACAGGATGGATGTGGGTTTCAGACAAAGACATTCTTCCAGTACCGCGGTGGCTGGATAAACATGGTCAGAATTCTCACACGTGTTCTTGAGAGGAATTCCAGAAAGGAACGGCTGTGGGATTAGACAACATTCAGCAGCCTTCAGCTGGCATCTTTGAACATGTATGAGACTCAGGTTTGAGAAAAATCTAAAGAAGGTTTTCAACATGATTATATTTCCAAAAAGGGATACTTACTCTAACAGTGGTTAGCTCCCTTCCCTTTCGTCAGAGAAAATGCTGCAGCGACATGACAGCTTGTCTAAGCTTCTGCTTCTGGTTAAGATTATTGTGTCTTTTGAGAAATCATTCTGATACATGCAATCATGAGACTTTATTTTTCAGTGGTTTGAGGTCAGAGAATTTGGATCTTTAAGAAATTAGCACTGCGGCAACCGACTAATGAGATCGGGCATTGTTATGTAATAGAGCACTTTATAACAATGCACATGAATTTATTATGTCACATTTCATTGCATTATATTATAAAGACAGAAGTATAATTGAAGAACCTCTGGAGGAGGGCATGGCAACCCACTCCAGTATCTTGCCTAGAGAATCCCACGGAGAAAAGAGCCTGGATGGCTGCAGTCTATAGAGTTGCAAAGAATTGGACATGACTGAAGCGACTGAGCATTCATGCATAATTTAAGAAACTGGGAAAAACACATCCCCACTCCCAGTGTGACTTACCTGACACGGAGCTAACTGTGCCTGAGGGGTACCCTTCTCACTGCATTTGCGACTTTGGCCACTTATGTGTGCATAAATATATAAAAAGTGTTTGTTTTGAATTTTAAAAATTATGTAAATGGTATTCTACATGTGGTAACTTATGCAGTTTTGTTTTTATCTTCATTGAACATTATGTTTTCCATACAACTAGATACTAGATCTGATTAGTTTCTGTCAACCGCTCACACAGTATCCCACTGTATAAACCTGTCAGAAGTTATCATTTTAGGTTTACAGACTATAAAGAATGCTGCCATAAACACAAGTGTACTGTCTCATGGTAAACGTCTTGCTCTGTGCTAAATCTCTAAGAGAGGAACTGCTGGGGTCTAGAAGTTTATGTATTTCCACATTTACCAAGGATTTCCAAAAGAGCAATAATCAACAACATTGGTTTCAACCCACAGGTGTTCCCATTTCCTTATATTCTGGCCCATACTTGACTTTATCAGATATTTTAATTTGGAAATTTGATGAGTGTGAAATGTATCTGATATAGCTTTAATATTAATGAGATGAAACATTTTAATATGTATAAATGGTGATTTCCATGTGTTCCTTTGAGAATTGCCTGTTCATATTCTTTGCTCATTTTTGTATTTGGATATTTACTTCTGATGCTTTGTAGAAATTCTTAGTATATCTTGGATACTAATCTTTTGTCAGGTATGTGAATTATAAATATTTTCTCAGCTTTATTTTTTAAAATTTTGCTTAATATGTCTTTTATCATTCAGAAACTTTTCCTTTTAATATAATCTGACTTGTAAATTATTTTTCTATATGGATTTCACTTTGTGGTTAATGTTAAGAACTCTATAACTATGCCAGGGTCAAAAGCAGATTCTCCATGGTTTAAAAATGGTTAAATTTTGCTTCTCATAGTTGGGTCTTTCATTGATCTGGAATTTATTCTTGAGTAGCTGTAAGGTAAAACTCTCAGTTTCTGAGATCTAGACAATTACCCCAGCATCACTATGGGTAGTCTTATCTTCACTGACTTATGCTACTTCTGTTTCATATACACACGGTCTCTCCCGGGGCTCTGTGTTCCATTCTGTAAGCCTAACTTTCTATCCCTGTAACAGTGACAACACTATTTTACTTACCATAGCTTGCTTTTCCACATTTTTGTTCATGCTTACCTCTGCACGAGGCTTATCAGTCTAATTATTATAACAAACCAGCTTTTACCATTCTCAGGCTTTTCTATAAGTTACTTTGGTTTCGATACTATTAATTTCTGTTCTTATTTCTGTTATTTTCTTTCTCTCATTTTCTTCTATCTCACTTTGTTACTCTGGTTATAATTTATTGATCTGTATATTTGGCACATTAATATTTGATATTTCTCTAACATGTATGCATAAGCTATACATTTCCATCTATTACTGATTTACATATACCTTGTGAGTTTTTATGTTATTTTTATAAACAATTTATCTAAATGCTTTGAGATTTTCTATCACAAAAAACAATCTTTCCTAAAAGGTTCACATAATTGAGAAATTTACATCTCTAATGAACTGATCATGTTTTTAATGTCTGTTATACAGTTTCTTCCATTTTCCCTTAGATACCGTTTGAAAGGCGGAATGAAATGACATCCTCATTAGGCACACATCAAAGGTGGCAATTGGCTGAGTCGCTGGTACCACACACGTGGAGAGCCTGGGAGGACGTGAATAAGACAGTCCTACGTGCAGCAATGCAAACCAAAGTGCCCTGATGTGAAGGCGTGCAAACTGGTTCCGGCTCTGAGTGATGAGGAACGGCCTGGTGCGAGGCAGGTGAGTCTAGCTTTAATTCAATGCACAGCAACGGGCGACATTTTCACACCCTTGAACCATAGGTAATGGGCTGACATGTAATGGGCCCCACTGCTGAATCCTGGCCCCACTGTCTATTCCTTCGAAACCCCTGCACGATGATTTCACCCCTGTAGTCTGCATTTTAGTTATGAGACTTGAGACATGCCCATGGAAAACCTCAGTGCATGAAAGGAAGATCCACCCTAATCGAACAGAGGGCATCGCAGCCAGGTCCAGAAGAATGACATGCAATGTGTCTCCCAAACTCTTTTTGCCAGGAAACTACACTTGCTGTTTCCCCTTTGTGAGCTCTTGTACTCCTCATTAGAGCTGCTAGGAACTCAGCAGGCATCCCAAACTCATAAAGGATGCAAAGTTTTACGTGAAATCAGACAAATCTTCCTTTTATCCTAGGAATTAGGATTTCAAAATTTCTACTGCAAGTCCCCACCCACACCCATCAAAACTCTGAGTTCACCTACTGAGTCACCAGGAAGCATCCAATTTACATTTTGTGAAAGTGATATTACCTGCAATCAGTGCCTTGGTTTCAGCTATTGTATTTTGATAACTTTTCTCACAGCCTTTAAATTTGGACAATAGGAGATGAGCTTTCTCAGTCCTAGGCAAATTAATGACACCCTTACTAAAAGAGAAGATTTAGCAAGAGAATCTTGCTCTTAAATAACTGCCTGAAAGGCAGCAATGAGGTAGCTTGTTAAAATAGTTATGGAGATTATTTACACCAGTCACGTCACTGTTTAATGCGACTTCACGCAGGGTATGAAAAACAGGACTCAAAGTGAGCTGCTAGGAAAGAGTAAACCCTACGTAATTCAAACCAAGAATTCTTACCTTGTTTTCATTGAAATTAGCAATAACCACTCCGACAAAAAGGGTCAGTCCAATCATGCAACCCAGGAATACAAAAACATGAATGTAGATTCCATGCATCTGTATAAATGACAAAAAAAAATACGGTTATCCATCAAAGCCAATGAAAGCAGCTGTGGTCTAGTTTAAAGGATTCCAGTGCATGCTTACCGGCCCCACACGATGAATAATAACGTCCCTCACTTCCACCCAGCCTTTCAAGGACAGAACTTCAAACAATGCCAGCATCGCGTTGCCCACGTTGTCAAAGTTAAAGTTCCGAGGATTTGCCCTGTGGGTCAGAAAGAGGAATGTTCCCATGATATTCTGCTGAGAAGCACCCTGAGGCAATATCTATAACTTCACTATTGGGTGCAAAGTGTACCTGGCACTTGGAAGGGAGGCTAGGTGATGTTCGTTTACTAACTCATAACTGCATCAGCGTGTTAGAATTTATTATGTACTTAATTATTAGGTAATGGGGAGGTGTTCTCAACCCAAAAGGACAAAACACTATGTGACTACTAGCTACAGAGGGTCTGCAGGGTTTCAGGCTGGTCCTGATTATACCGGGGACTTCCGGGTTAGAACTTGTGCAGGAAAGTCTTACAAAGGGGCGCTGGAGTCTGGATGTGAATTTTGGAATAGTTTTACATTAGAAAACCTTTCTAAAGGCATAGATTACAAATGCTGCTGTTAGTACAGAAAGTGTAAAATGAGTTGAATTTGGCCACTTGATTTTATTCTGTGTCATCACGGGAGCAGCAAGCTGTGACCTAGTGATGCTTCAGGGTCCTGGGGGTGATATGGAGCCTGTGGACTTTATCTCTCATTAACTGCAAGGGACTCAGTGGACACTACTTATAGACCCCAGTGTTGTTTACACCCGCAGTTAACGTCTGATTTCTAAAACTATTTGGCCCCTCTATTCTGGGTGTGTGTGTGTGGGTGGGTAGTGGTTCTGGGCAATGTCTCATTTTCTGTTTTTCTGACACATTTATACTTTTCTCACTAATATCTCTACTACACTGCAGCTCCCTCCCGCTATTCATTACAAGTCTTAGCCAACAGTTTTATTAACAGAAGAAAATTTTAGTGTTTTTTTTCCCTTTTCTGAGGTTACTTTAAATCATTAAAATATTTAGACAACTACACGCTGGAAAATCCTGACTACCATCACATTTCCTGGATTTGATGAATTGAGCTCAGGATGACTGAATTGAGTAGACCTACTGAAGCCTAGCTAGACTATATTTTGATAATTTTTCTTTTTTGCTAGCACATTTATCAAAAGTTAACCTTCATAGGAGGCCAACACTCTTGGGGGAATCTGGTTTAGTATTTTTCTACCAGAGACAATCATGAGATATACTTTTATAAGTTTATTTTTTTTAATGCTAAATACGTGGGAATCTAAAAAGAAAACACAATACTGAGACTGACTTGTTTTTAAAGGTTTCGAGCTGATTGGTATATCAGCTTTTTTTTCTATGTAGTAAAAAAAAAAAAAGCCCCACTCAGAAATACACATTTTGGGATTCTGAAAGTACAGGCATACTCTCTCGGATTTTTCCAGCACTCTTTCCTTTTGGGGGTTTCAATTAAATTTAATATATTTTATAGCAGACAGGAGCTGTAAGGATTCTACAGATGTCAGAATTTTCTTGAATAAGAATTTAAAAAATAACAACAACAAAGTGAGTCAGCTCTCAGATCTGATGTCAAACTTTCTTACCCGTCCATTTTCTTTATGTAAGAGTGCTTTCTAAGCTGAATTTGCAGCAACTGAAGCTACTTTTATATTCTAAACCTTTTAGAAGTTAGAATATGTTAAAAAATACTTTTAGGCTAAAACAAAAAAAAAATAAAATGGAAGATCATAGATTTAAATCACTGGAAGACTAAATAACATTTTAAAAGTCTCAGTTTCAATCATATAAGCTCTCTGTTTATGCTGTGCTCCTGATACTAAGATTGGAAAGTTTGAGACCTCACCAACAGAAGACTTCAACAAATCCCAAGCACAATCCATTATTGTCAGTTTCCCTGTGGTCCTTTTATTTTCTTTCCTGGTTAATTTCTGAAAGATTATAATCCCCTGATGCTGGGAAAGATTGAGGGCAAGAGGAGAAGAGGTCAATAGAGGATGAGATGGTTGGATGGCATCATGGACTTAACAGACATGAGTTTCAGCAAACTCTAGGAGACAGTGAAGGACAGGGAAGCCTGGCGTGCTGCAGTCCCTGGGGTTACAAGGAATCAGACACGATTTAGCGACTGAACAACAGCAAATCTTTGTCCATCCAATTCAGGAAATGAAGAATCAGTTCTGACTCACAATCTGGTCAGTTTTGTACCCCCTGGTGACAAATGCTCCAAGGATCCCAGGTCATGATAAGGAGAGTTGTTCTCTCTTGGGAAGATGGAGATGTCTTGGAGGAGAGGAATTTAGCCTCTGCCCTGGGATGTGAAGATGCAGCGAATGGTACTGTTCAGAATGGTACCTGGTGTCTGACACATCTCTGCCTTTTACTCTAAAGACATCGGAAACTTGCACTTCTTAGAATGCAGGCTTCTATTTTTGCCTCGCTCTTTGGTGATAGCCCTTTGAATTCACTCAGCCAGCAGCCATCTAACCTCGGCCTCGTCTCTCCCTCCCACCTGCCCGTGGCCCCTCCCCTTCCACCTGCCTAATTCCTATCCACCCTTCAGGAGTGAACTGAGTGTCTTCTCTTTTCGGTCCTTCTCCTTGGTCCAATCACAGTCCGGGTTAGGTGCTTCTCCTGCCAGCGCCACCGCACCATTCGCCTCTCCTTACCCTAGGATCAAAGGCTTATACACCAGCCTTTTATTATCTCTAGCCTGATAATCAGCTAAAGAAGCTGAAAACTTAAGCCTCGGGACCTCCCTGGCGGTGCCGTGGTTAAGAATCCGCCTGCCAGTGCGGGGGACAGGGTTCGATCTCTGATCCGGGAAGATCCCACACGCCGCGGTGCAGCTGAGACCCTGCGCCACAGCTACGGAAACCACGTGCCTAGAGCCGGCGCTCTGCAAGTCCAGGCAGCGCAACTCAGACAGCGCCCGCGGCAAAAGACCCAGCACAGCCAAAAAGAACCGAACAAACAAAAAACTTAAGCCTCAAGGCCCCTCCTTGGCCCGGGCCCCTTCTAAGATTCAGGAAAGGCCGGGGAAGTGAGTTTGCATACTCATACCTTTCTGTTAAATTTAACAAAGCCGCTTCACACTCTTTTTCTTAGAGAGCATACCCAAATTGTGGGAGGCTGACTCCACAGACATCTGATCTCTTTCTCCTAGAATATATGGCTGTGTGATCTGACATTGCCTAGAGGTAAACTTCTGGGGAACCTCAGGTGAATTTATGGGCTGATTTATGTAGCATTAAAACCTCAGCATATTGTATTAAACTATTTTATTTCCTGTTCTCCCCTAGACTTCAAGGTTTTAAAGGTCAGAGATCATAATGCTGTCCCCAGTGACAGCATAATACCTGGAGAAGAGTAAACAGTAAATACATTTATTGCAAAACTGAGCATTTTGTTGACTTCTCTTTCATGGATTTCATTTTCCTAAATCCCAAATCTCTGCTTAAAACAAAATATACAATATTTATAATATATATGTTTAATCCTTTTTACCAAGGTAATTTTTATCTCAAGTCTAAGTGATTCAGAAGAAGATGAATGCATTCATCTGAAGTGAGAATGCAGAAACCAGACTGCCTCCTGAATTAGCTACTGCATATTTATATCCTAATTATAATTATCAAAACATTCCTCTAGGCCAATTCTGAGATATAAGTTATTTTCTTAATCATAAATTAGCCAGTATAAAATTACAAAAATTTCAGCTGCTAGCTCTTGATGAGATTATTAGAGAAAGAAAATATGTGAAAACTTTAACGGTTACAAGTTGACATTTATTTGATGAAAGATTTATATTTCGCTAAACCTCACCCAAGTTATTATATTCTGAACAAATGGGAAATAACTATTGTGATAATGTTCAAGAGTTGTCTCTCTGTTTATGCTTTTAAAATACCATTGAACTTGAAGTCCTTAATAGTAACTTGCATAAAACATTACATTGCAATTAGCTGATTTTAAAATCATAGAGAGCTGGTTTTATGGAACAGGGTGAACACCATAGGGTACGAACAGAAATGGCTTACTCTCCTCCCAACACTACCTTCCAGTGTATTCTATTCCCTTCCTGACATCTTACGTGCATGCTTGTTAAGTCACTTCAGTCATGTCTGACTCTGCGACCCCATGGACTGTAGCCCACCAGGCTCCTCTGTCCATGGGACTTTCCAGGGAAGAATACTGGAGTGGGTTGCCATTTCCTTCTCCAGGAGGTCTTCCTGACCCAGGGATCGAATCCTCGACTCCTGCATTGGCAGGCAGGTTCTTTACCACTTGGGGAGAGTCTAAAGATTTTTGGCCACTTTTCATTATATGATGAGCCTCAGTCTAAAATTCCTACTCCATTCAAACCTGGACCAGGACCCTACTCTCTGCAGCTCAAGCCTGACACGTAGTCTGAAGAAAGAAAAAGAAGGTCAGCCACTCTGGTCCACTCCTCCTGTATGGTGACCACCTGGTTCTTACAAGACGGGTGGGATTAGCTGGACTTGGAGACATGCGGTCCCGTCTTGTGTATCTGACTCTGCTGGCCTCTGTCCCTGGGCCCTTTCTTCTCAGCAGTCACTGTTCTTTCATGGAGCTCATTTTTGTGTTCCCAAGAAATATTCCACGTTTTAATCGTAAACCTGGTCCTTTAACACCTGTCCTACGTACAGATGCTGGACGCATTTTGCTCTGGATGACTGGATAAAACGTCTGAGTCACCCCTCCTGGCCTCCTGTCTCCCTCATCACCATCCTCAAACTCAGGGAGATTCCTTCTCAAGGCTTTTTTTTCCCCCAAATACAAACCAACCACCCCAGAGTCCACACCCCAACCACCTCCTGTATCTAGCTTTTGTACTCAGGGCCACCATCTGCCTGCCCTCATCACCCCACTGCCAGGGACCAGACCACTCTGGTCGCATCTATGCCCCAGGCCCAGGTGGTACTAGTGGTAAAGAACCCGCCTGCCAATGCAGGAGACTCAGGAGACAGGGGTTCGACCTCTGGGTTGGGAGGAGGAAATGGCAACCTGCTTCAGTATTCTTGTCTGGAGAATCTCAGGGACAAAGAAGCCTACACTCCATGGAGTGGCAAAGAGTCAGAGACACCTGAAGCAACTTAGCGTGCATATATGCATGTCCCAG